GGAATGTTATGTACAACTTAGTGAGTCTAGTTAATAACACTGTATCATATACTTGAAAGTTGGTAAGGAAGTAAATCTTAAAAGTTCTCATCACAAGGAAAAAACTCTGTGATGATATATGCTAACTAGAATTATTGTGCTCATTTCACACTATATGCAATATCTAATCGTTATGTTGTACACCTGAAACTAAAGTTGTTTTAACTCAGTTAAAAAAATAATTGAAGGCCTCCTTGGTGATGCAGGGGTTAAAGTCTCAGTGTTGCCAAGCTGTCAGCAGAGCTGCAGCCTGAGTGTGACCCTGGCCAGGAAGCTGACCCACATGGGGCAGCAGCAGACCTTTCCTGTCTAGTCTGCTGCTCTCCTAAGCCATGTATTACAATGGTAGCACCTGTTCTGCGCCCCACTGTCTCTGGGGAATCCTCTCACTATCCGCCCTGCCCCTGTACCTTTGGCCTAGACCCCAGTTCTTGTATGTATAAATACATAAAATAAATCTTTAACAAAAATTGAAACATATGAAAACGTGGCTAGCTGAATTGCTTATTAGGAAGAAGATAGGAAAAAAAGAATTACAGTACGTAGCCAATCATTCATCACAATGATTAAAATGGACACACCAGTGTCATTTTTTAATTTTACTTATTTATCTTTTGATTAATTTTTTTTACATTTTCTTATAGTTTTCATTTTTGTACATGATTTTGTACAGTATTTGATTTCTTTGTTCGGGAGTCGTCTCCACAACCACATCACCCATGAACTATCACTATAGTACCTTTTTCTCTTCCTCCCCCTTTTTTTTTTAATTAAAAAGTTTATTTTTACATCATTTTTCACATTTTTTTTTCATCTTACCTCCCCTCTTTTGACCCATCTTCCTCTTCTCCTCTGCTTATTGCTTCATATCTGTAGTCTGTATACAAGTTTTGTCTCTCTCTTTTTTTGACCCTTTGTTTGGTTTCTCTGTGTCCTCCCTATAAGTGAAACCATCCATTATTTTGCTTTTTCTTCTGACGTATTTCATTGAGCATAATCTCTCCACCCATATTGCTGTGAATGGCTTGAGTTTATCATTTTTGATTGCTGAATAGTACCCCATTGTGTACATATACCATGTGTTTTTGATCCAGTCATCTGTTTTTGCACATTCATGTTGTTTTTATATCTTAGCTATTGTAAATAGTGCTGCAATAAACATAGGAGTGCAAATTTCCTTTCAAATTAATGTTTTTGTATCCTTTGGAGCAATTCCTAGGAGTGGAACTGGTGGGTGATATGGTAGATCCATTTTTAGTAATTTGAGACACTACCACGCAGCTTTCCATAGTGGTTAAACCAGTTTACTTTCCCACCAGCAGTGTAAACAGGCTCCTTTTCCTCCACAGCCTTGCCAATATTTGTTGTTGCCATTTTCTTTAATTTGGGCCATTTTCACCAGTGTAAGGTAGTATCTCATTCTGGTTTTGATTTGCATTTCCCTTATCCTAAGTGGTGTTGAACATTTTTTCATATACCTGTTGGCCACTTGCATTTCCTCTTTGAAAAGTGTCTTTGTAGTCCTGCTCATTTTTTGACTGGGTTGTTTGCTTTGTTTTTGTTGAGTTGTATAAGCTCTTTGTAGATCCCTTATCATTTGTATGGAATTCAAATATTTTTTGCCCAGTCTGTACGGTGCCACTATTTTGGGCATTGTCTTTTTTGATGATCAGAAGCTTTTTAGTATGATACAGTTCCAGGTGTTTATCTTTTCCATCATGTTCTTTGCTTCTGGGGATGAGTCTTCATCTTGGATGTTTCTGAGATGTATGTCTTAAGAGTGTTGTGCCTATGTTTTCTACATATTTTATGGTTTCAGGTCTTACATTCAAGTCTTTTATCCATTTTGTTGGTTTTTGAATATGGTGTGAGGTAGTAATCTAGTTTCATTTTTTTGCATGTGATAGTCCATTTTCCCAGCACCATTTATTGAAGAGATTTTCCTTGTTCCAGTGCACATTCTTTACTTTTTTGTTCATGGGTTAGTTGTCCATATATATATGGCTTTATTTCTGGGTTTTTAGTTCAGTTCTATTGGTCTGTGTGGTCTGTTTTTCAAACAGTATCATATGTCGACAAAAATATAAAGCAAATGGAATTTGTACACATTGCTGGTGGTGTCATATGCACCCTAAGACATAACATCTCAGAGATACCTGAGATGAAGACTCAGAAGCAAATAACATGAAGGAAAAGATAAATAGCTGGAACTGTATCAAACTAAAAAGCTTCTGATCAGCAAAAGAGACAATGCTCATAATAGTGACATCCTAAGATTGGGCAAAAAATACTTGAACTCCATACAAATCTACCTATTCACCTAAGAAAATTGGCAGTAGCTTTGAAAGCTTAACAAATGTCTGTCTTGTGATTCTGAAATTTCAGTTCTAGGTATAGACTCAAGAGAAGTGAATATATATGTGCACCAAAAGAAACATATAAAAACATCACAGCAGTTTTATGACATTAATTAAAATTAATCAAACTAATTTAGCTTTCTACTTGTAGATATATAGCCGAGGTACTCTTAATCATGTACATAAGGAGAGAGGTACAAACCTTCAGTACCCCACTGTTTTCAGTGATAACAATTCAAAAGTCCATGAGCAGGAGGATGGAGTAATATTGCAACAGTATGGATGAATCTCATGATGTTAGATTAAGCAAAATAAGCAAAATGTAAAAGAATAAAAATTGAATAATTTTAAGGAATTGCAGAACTAGTATATCTAATTCCTGGTGACAGAATCAGGATTTATTATAAGGGTTGTTTCTGAGGTGCAATTGCCTGGAGATGAAATAGAGACCCTTTTATATGGTGATAAAATACTACATACTGAACTGGATAATAATTACACAGGTGTATAAATAGGTGAAGATTTACCAGCCTGTACACTCAAGAATTGTGTACTTCTTTGCATTAAGTACGTTAACCCCCCCAAAATCTGAAAAGAATGACAAAAATTAGTGTGTTCTCAATGCTCTACTATAGAGTGTTACAGCCAATTTTCTGAATTTACATTTATAATTAGGAAAAAGAGAACAGTGGTTCTGTATAACCAAAGTGACTCTCAATCTAGAGGACGTAATAGTTTGAGTTGACCTCCTACCTGCCCATCTTCCCAGTGCTGAAACAAATCTCTTTATAGTGGGGTGCATGTGACAGCAACATCTAACCTCTCCTGGTATACTCAGTCAGTTAGCATAGCTGAGGGTTCTTTTGTAGACTCTTTTGAAGATGAGCTTGCCTTAGCTAAGGGGGACCCTGAACAGTGATGTAAGAACCAAGCTGGGGATTGCAAATGAGATGGGAAAATGCACAAAATGATGTAAAAATAAACTATTATATATATATACATATACATATATATATATCTAAAGAACCAAGCTGGGGTTTTCAGCAGTATGAGATGAGAACTGCATTTGGAAAGCAGCTACTTGGTCTCAGGTCCCATATTAATTGCTTCTTGGTTAGCTCAGAGCATCACCAGTGGGTGCTGTGGGCTGGGCATGTCAAAGACAACAAAGGAAGAAAGAAGGGGGAAAATGTTAAAAGAGAGATGGAAAAAGTGTGGGGGGGCTGGAATGACAGATGCACATACCTTGCCTAGTGGTTTCTGGGCTCTCTGCTCATCGGGTTGGAGGCTCTTCCTCCCAGCTGCTCAGTTCTCCAGCTAATACAAGGGAAGAAGGGAGGGCGGGGCTTTGCAAATCAACCTGTCTTTTCATCACTTCATAGAAGCTGCACTGAGATTCTCTGAAGCTCCACTGAGATTCTCTGAAGTTCCGTGTCCTCACTGACCCACTCTGACCAGCAATCTAATTGGGGGACCAGTTATGGCCACTTCCAGCTCCTGCAACAGATGGCAGATGGTTGTCTTTGCTTCAGTTTCTTCATCTGTAAAACAGGAGTTTTTCTACTTCTCAGGGTTGCTGTGGGGCTGGCAATGGTGCGTGCTGGGACCTGACACCTAAGTTGTCTTTCTTTTCCTGAGGTCAGATTATGGTCAGGAGATGCTGCATTGATGGCCGTTGAACACTTGAACTGTGTCTAGTGTGAATGAGGACTGAGTGTTCTTATTATATACTTTCATAATTGTTTTCCATTTAAATAGTCACCTGTGGCAAGTAACCACAAGAATTAGGCAGTGCAAGTTCTAGGGTGTTCCAGGAGCTGGAAGTTATTCCAGCACCCAACTTAGGACTATAGGTGAGTTCACACCATACCCCTCCACCCCTCCCCTCCAGCACCCACCTTAGGACTATAGGTGAATTCACACACACACACACACACACACACACACACCATACACCCTCCCCTCCAGCACCCACCTTAGGACTGTAGGCGAGTTCTCCTACACACATACACACACACACACACACACACCTGTAGGTGAGTTCTCCTGTACACATACACACATCCTCCTTTCCTCCCCTCCATTGTCCACCTTCATGTGCAAGCAGTTAAGGTCATAAGGGCTTCTACCCCACCAATTTTGTGTTGCCCCTTACTTTCTCTATTCCATCTACCAGCAATCCTGGGGAATAGGGCTTAGGGGCCTGTGGGAGCCACCTTCTGTGTCTCTGGGTCTCTCATAGCCTTCAGCAAACTCAGCAGGCTCAGCGCTTCCTTTTCACAGATGAAGAAACTGAGGTCCACGAGACGAAGCAAGGGAGCTGCTGCAGAAATGTCAGTTCTTTGAGGCACTGATGACAGACAGTTTCATAGGTTAGGTTGTCAAGGCGCGCGCGGGAAAGCGGCGGGTAAATATTTGGGGCAGTAACCCGGGCTCCAGGACTCCTCCTCACTGCAGTTCCGCGTGGCGAGGGTGGTGCCATTCGGATGGAGGGTGGTACAGGGCGTCCTCTGACGTCGTCGTCGCAGCTCTGGGACAGACCTTTGGGGCCCAGCTCCTGTGGCCCCGCCCCGTCCCGCCCTCGCCTCGCTGGGCTATAAGTGCAGCAGCGCTGGAGAAAGCGGACAAGCGGACCCAGACGGAGCTGAGGGGAGCGGCGCGCCTGGGCTGAGGCGAGTGCAGAGCAGAGAGTGCGCCGGGAGAGCAGGTCGGGGCTACTCCGCCTCGGGTCTACGTGGTCCCCAGGTCAACACCGCAAGTGCTCAGGGCAAAAGCTGCCCCATGAAGCCGCCCTCGGTGCAGAGCAGCTCCGCGGCGGCCGCAGCTGCAGGTGAGTAGGGGTCCTTGTTACACCCCTGGCCCCGCAGACGGGTGACAACCAGAGGGGGAGCCTGTATCGTTCCTTTATCTCCCACCACCCCTTCCCAGTCTTCAGTCTCACCACCCTGCCCCTGGCGGGTTCAGCCTCCCTTTCCACGCCTGCCTGGGAGTTTGAGCCCCGGTAACATGCGTACTGACTCAGTCCTCCCACCGAGGTCTGGTCCGCCCGCACCCATGAGCGTGGGGACAGTTCCAGACAAGTGGAAAAGCTGTGCTGTGCCGTTTAGCTGGGTGATCAAAAGGTCTGCAGCTTTGCTGCACCGGACGGAGACTCACTTATCTCACCTCAAAGTGGGCATACTAGTAAAAGGCTCTTGGGGGGTAGTGTTGAGAGGATTAAACTGTAAAAGGTAAGTAGCAGCTGCGACCAGGTAGCTGTCACTTGACGAGCGAACAGTGAGTTTAGTTATCCTCGGAAACGGTGGTGGCCGCAGATCGCGCCATCTGACAACCTCCATGACTGCCAACAGCCCCGGCCTTAGACTCTGCCGCCTTGGGCGATCTGACTGATGCGCTGTGCGAGTTCGACGCGGTGCTGGCCGACTTCTCCTCACCCTTCCAGGAGCGCCACTTCCACTACGAGGAGCACCTGGAGCGCATGAAGCGACGGAGCAGCGCCAGTGTGAGCGACAGCAGCGGCTTCAGCGACTCCGAGAGTAAGTGTGGCTCCCTCCAGGACAGTGCCGGGATCCCTGGGTTCTCCCAGGAGGCCCAGGAAGGCCTTTATGGCCTCAGTTTGCTTCTCTGTAAGTCATGGGGTGGGCGGGCACGGCACAGTAAACCCTGAAGCTCCTGGCAGTGTTTAGGAGCTAGGAGTCGAGTTTCCAGAGTGGCAGGCCCAGCGAGGGACAAACCCCTGGCCAGCAGGCTGGTCTGCCAGCCGGCTGCAGGTGTAGTGAGGAAGGAGAGCACTCCTGGGACCCAAGCCAGGGCTTTCCAGTTTCCTCTCCCTCCTCTTTCTCTGTCTCTCTCCTATCAGCAGTAACTTTTCAGAGGACGTGGGGCAAATGCTAGAGGAATCGGAGTGGGGGAAAACATTTGTGAAATCAGGATAAATTTCATAAGCTGATGTTCTTGGGATGCCTGAAATAACTTTGCACTTTTTTCTGGTCTTCAGCAACCAGACTTAGTACTCTAGTATCTCAGGGTTTTGAAATATCCTGGCACTGCTGGGTTCAAGTATTTTATAAAGTATCCCTCTTCCTGTAGGCACCCACCAAAGGGTCTACTTTCTCCTGCCTAGGAAGGAGGTAGTCAGAGCAGATGGGAAAAGAGGTACTTTGCAATGATCTTTTTCATAATAGAGGGTCTCTCTGCCCTAAATGACCAGTATCCAAAGAGAGACAGTAATTTCCAGGAATTAAAATGTCCTGCAGGACTATTTATGCATGCCTGTTTAGGTGTCAAACAGCAAATTGGGGGACTTTCCAATAGTACGTGATTGTTGGTTTTCAAATTGTGGATTATTTATTTTTCAAAGTGAGTTTTAAATTCTTTTGGGTCATTCTTGAGACTTCAATCCCTAGAAGAGTTATGGGTGTAAATGTCATTTCTTTTGCTGCCCTTGACACTGGAAGTAAAGGCAATGACCGTTCCTTATGATTCTCTTCTTTTGAAATCACAAACTCTCCCTTGTTGCAGGGCAAAGAGTGTCCTACACTTAAACATGAGTTGGCCTCCTAAAAAGGGATAAAGGGCACTCACCACTCTCATGATTTCCGTCAGAAACCCGAGTTCCAGTTTGAGTTTCCTTGGCAGCCCTGCCTGAGTGTTAGATCTAATTGCAGCTTTTGGGGTGAAAGGGACTGTAAGAGTATACTGTTGATTTTTCATTTTGTACTTTTGGACTTTGTTGCTAATGGCTGTACGACTTATTTCCAATTTCAAAGGAAAATCTAAAATTTTTGAAATCTGCCTCAATATCTATAGGAAACTTAAATGTCTCCTTCTCCTGGGCATAGAGCAAGTTATTCAGCAAGCACAAATCTCTTCCCGGTGGGAAAGCAAGCTGGGTCAGTGTGTCCACTGGCACTCTGTTGCACAGCAAACCCTTCTGAGGTGCAGCCCCATTCAGCTGAATACAGACTTGAGCTCGCCCATTCCTGGTGATTGCAAGCCCCCACCCCCTCCCGTAGGATTTCAGACGTGGGATCTGTTTTCAGGAGCTTGGAGGAGGCACACAAAGCACATTTTTAAATGGTTTTGGAGGAGATAGTTGGAATAGTCTGTAGTTTTTCTTTGGGTATATGTGTGTTTTTCTCTCTGTTTCTGTTGTTAACTGTTAAACTAACCCTTAGTTTGGTGGTTAGAGAAGTAATTGAGAGGGTAAAAAGACCGATGACATGAGTTTTTTCTATAGTATAGCTTATCCCCCACGACTGTTTATTCTTGGCAGGAAGAGTATGTATTTAAATGGTAATTTCCTAAGGAAGCATAATATGTGTATTTTAATTGCTGCCAAGAATTGAGCACAGACATTTGTTATATTCATTTGTCTGTTTGATGTTTTTCTGGGGAAGAGAATGTTTGATAGAGGTAGATCTGAAAGTTAGTCTACCGAAAGGCAACATCTGGATGAGAACAACAGCAGTTCACTCTACCAAGCCTTCATTGTGAGTCCCATTGTTTGTTCCCTCTTAACTTAGTGACCTCTTTGCTGTGCTTTTAAGTGTGTTATATGGTGTGATTCTGCTTACGTTCTATAAGAGAGGCACTGTTATCTCTATTTTTCTGATAAAGTAGCAGTAGCACGTGCCTTTCTAAGTAAGACCTTGCTGGTTGGCTGAAATGGAAATGGGGTTTGGAACACTAGATAGTGTCTGTTTATTAATGGGGGGTGTGTTGTCAATGTCTCTTCAAGGCAGTGGTCATCTAGTTGGGTCACTAGCACCCAGGGAGATGAGTAGACTTCAGTTTCTCTATCCGAAATCTTGAAAGGATAGGATAAGAAACATCCATAAGCTCATGACTGGGAAGAAAACATTTGCTCTCTTTAATTCTTTCAACAAAACATGAAAGTGCGCATACCATGCTACATAACATTGACCAGATACCTTTGAGTCAGTATCTTGCCTGAAAATACTATGTTTGAAGCTCTAAATCCTCATTACCTTGGCTTTTCTTCACCCTACTTTTCTTAGCTTGATTGCTCTGAAGTTGTACTTACTGCATCCCTGGTTGCTTTTTTTTTTTTTTTAATTTAAACTTAAAAAAAAAGATTTATGCATACAGAACTGGGGTACAGGACAGAGGTGCAGTGGTAGTGAGAGGATTCACCAGAGACAGAGTGGGGAGCAGAAGAGGCAGATTGAGGGACAGGAGAGGTCTGATGGGCTATGTGGGTCACCCCCCAGGCAGGGGATCAAACTTAACATTGAAGCAGCTGAGGCTAGGCTAGCTTGCAGTGGTGCTGGGTCCTAATGGTTTTGCCACCTGGGAGGTACCACATCCCGGTTTTTTGAAGAAACTTCCTTTTCTCCATTAAAGAAAGGATTTAGGTTGCTTGCATCTAAAAGAAGGAAATATACATTTCTTCTTCAAGTCAAAGAAGCAAGTTATTTACATAGAGGAGAATGGAAATTTAACAAGGAATTACTCCTTCCTGTACCCCTTATAGGGAATCCTCCTAAGAAAAGAAGTGAGCCCCAAGAACAATTGACAAGATATCTTTATTGTACGGTTAACATTCAAGTTGGCAGAGGTTAGAGGTGGAAGTCATCTAAGCAAAATAGCCTTGTTCCTTTCCCTGGACTTGTGTTCCAACAGGTAATATCAAGCACTTCAGTGGGAGTAATTTTAATTTCAGCAGTAAAAAGGCAATGCAATTAGGAGTGAGGGTAGTGTTGTTCGAACTTGATACTCAGACATGATTCAAGAATAGTAAACATCTTTGGTTTGAACTTATTATTAAAGACTTTTAGCATTTTCAAACCTATAGATACACACCATAATGCCACAAGTGTTTAATCAAGTTTTATCTCATATTTACTGAATTTTTTTTTTAAGATTTATTTATTTGTGCATACAGAACAGGAGTACAGGCCAGAGGTGCAGGGGCGGTGAGAGGATTCACCAGAGTGGGCAGCAGAACAGGCAGATACACGAAGTACACTGTGAGGGGAGCAGCAGATTGGCCAGGAGAGGTCTGCCAGCCATGTGGACCACCTCTGGAGCAGGGATTGAACTCATGCTGAAGTGGCTTTGGCTTCTTAGTGCTGTGCTTTAACCCACTGTGCCACCAGAGAGGGCCCTCATAATTTAATGAATTTTAACCAATTTGTTCATTTGTTTCTTCTGGTTGCTTTAATAAGAAGTTTACAATATTTACTTGAATTTGAAATGTGGCACGGGTTACATCTTTGATGTAGCTTTTTCCTTTGAGGTAAGACATGGCTTTCAATTTAACAGAAAAGGTCTGCAGTCTACTGTGTACGCAGGGGCTGTGAAGATACAGTGAGGGCATGTTAGGAATAAGGGACTAAATGGTTTCTTTAGCAAGTGCAAGACTTAGAACAGCTATTTATATTTGCCTGGACTCTTGGAGCCTGCACTGGGACCTTGGACCCTGGGCGCCCCATAACACAGAGCATACCTGCTGATAGGACATAGAAATCAAAACTAGAAGCTGGACTTGTCCAAGTCCACAAGATTGAGGTGTTGGGAGCTCTCAGGTTGCTGGAAGTTCCAGGGGCGTGACAGGTCTCTGGTGGCGAGGTGTCCAGAGGGACGGAGCAGTTGACAAGGGAAGTTGGGGCAACAGTGGGGAAACTAAGAAAAGAGGCCCTTGCCTGTTCTATCCCACTTTAGTCAGGCTGTCAGAATTTAGAATTTACTCACCATTCCCCGTGGCAAAGGGAAGCAGGTCCAAGGCTTTCTTTCTCTCAGTTAATTACTATAGTTTGCTTGCCTTAAACATGTGGGCTTGTTCTATATTTACAGGAGCTCTGGGCAAGGTTTATGTCTGTGGTTTTACTTCCCTCTGGAGCAGCACATGTTGGTGCTAACCTGAAATTACCTTTCTCCTCGCTCCCAAACTAAGAAAGCACATTTACCTTTGAAACAAGCCTGTTTTTGCAGCCGAATCTCTCAGGCTCTGTTGGTACTCCTAAAGTTAGATGTTTGTGTATTTAATGTGTTTACATTTCTTTTCATGGTGCCTTAGAAAACTTGGTCCCTGAATTTGAGGTTCTTGGCTTTAACACACTAAGAGGACTTGCTAGGAGCATTACTAATGGACTTTGGGATACTTGTGACTGGGCTTTCCAGCTGATTGGAGTAAATGCCGCAAGGTCCTAAAATACCTAGTCTTGCCACCTGCCAAGTTTTCCCAAGTCACCAGTGCTGTGGTTCCTTGAACTGCTCTTAATGTCAGCACTTTATTTATGGCGGAGCAATAGTACTTGAATATGTGACCAGTCAGCAACGTGTTGTTGTCATTTTATCAGAATAACTGACTGACTTTGCAAGGACTAGAGTTCCAGGGGAAAGTGGAAAGAATAGCAAGTCGGGCTTTTTATGTACATCAGTGCCTAGTCTTGTTGATTGCACGTGCCTAATAAAGTATGGGGAATGAAACTTCATTGGCCAGAGGGTGAGGAGAGGACTACTTCTGTGTTGGTGGCTTGTTCTCAGGAGGTTTGTTCTAGTCTGTTTCTGAAGGTGAACTTATCTTAAGAATTTGTGCTGCTATGTGAAGAGGAGAATGCCAGGTCTAGAATCTTGATCTACTCTTCTGTGGGGACCTAACTGCTCTTGGACATGCCATTTTGCCTAGAACTTTAGGACATAAACATGAAATCCACTGGTATCATACATGGAGCCCCTAGGTCATTGTTCCCTTTTGCTGAAGAAGAAACCGAGGCTTAGAAGGGAAGTTGGAAGGGACTTTCATGGTCACACAGCTTTCTCCCCTCTTCTGACACACAGCTCTGTAGAGGCAGCTCTCTGCTGGGTCCAGATTAGCTTGGGGGCTCTTGAGGTTGTACTTTTCAGCTCTTTCAAAAATGACGTGTGTAGAGTATGACCAGAGGGGGAAAGAAACCATAGGCAGGTTTGGCTTGAGGATGCTGGAATTTGATATCCTTTTAATGGTTGAACATTTTCAAGCTTGGAGTCCATTTTTGGACAGAATGTTCATGGAAATTCTCAAAAGAGGCTTGAAGGAGCACGTAGAGGTCATCAAGGTGTGGCAATGAGGTGGGGGGAGGTGTGTGTGTTTGTGTTTGGATGGGGAGGGAGAAGTGAGCATCTGCTGTGCTGATAAACCTGTGTGTGAGTATGGGTTGTCACAGATATTCTAACTGGTATGTCCCTCATAGCAATAGTTACATGAATTTGTCAGTGAGAAGAGGCAACTTCTGGTAACTTAATAGTTTGCTTTCCAAGTGCATTTGTCGAGTAAAACTTTATGTATTTTTTAAGCTTGAGGAAAATACTTTAATCATGAAAGCACTTAATGCCAGTCTTTAAATGGCAAGAGATGAGCCATGAAGTCAGGGTACTCTGGTTCATTCTCTTCAGAGCTGCCTCAAACCGCTGGAATCACCTCACTGTTTCTGAACTATCACAGGAATCCTTTCTCTCTACATTTTGCAAATGGCTTTTCCATGTCTAGGTTATTCCTTCACTGAAGACTCAATGGCATTTGGTTTTCTTACAAGGAGGAGGGTAAGAGGGAGAGACAGTTTGAGTTTCCCCTTCTCCCTTCCCTAAGGAGGAGTACATGTACATGGAAGATTGCTGGAGAGGCTGGAGAGCAGGGGCAGATTAGAGATGAAATCCAAGGCAAGCCAGGGGCTGGTATAGGGTGTGGTGGAGTGAGGTGTGGTGGTAAAACTGCCTTTCAAGAGCCAACTGCTTCTGGGAGATAGAGCCCAGAGGTGTGGCCACTGAGTTCTGGGTCAGCAGGTCTCTGGGTTTGACCCTCTGGGCTAGGATGATGCTCTTAGTTTTCCTTCAGAGCCCACAGTCATGTGCTGAGAGCCTCATTCCTTCTTCTTGGAATGAGAAGTCTGGGTTTAGGGCATTGGTTTCTCTGCCCCTAGTCTTACTTTATCTTTTCCTCACAGGTTTCTCAGGTTCTGTCTATGGTGATTGTCCCACTAATTGCCCAGTGATAAGTAGCAGTGTCCCACTGTAGGGCTGTAGGAGGCGTGACCACTTTTTTGTATTAGGGAAAGGCTTTTCCTTGAGAAAATCCAGATTGTTCTGGAGGTGGGCTCAGCTGACAGAGCCAGCAGAAGGGCTTCTAAGTTGAGCTCCACCAAGTACAAGTGTTCTGGGAAATGCTAATGGGGTGCCATAGAACATGTGTCCCATGGTCATGGACACTTGAAAGTTAGGGCTAAACTGATTCCTTTACCACAGACTTCTCGGAGAGTGTCAAGGGAGTGACAGTGAGGATCTCCAAGGTGATCGGTGTTTCTCAAACTTTGTTGATCACACAGCTTTTCTTTTCCAGGGAGACCACTATTCTGAGGAATCTATATATTTTTGAAATATAAGTTTGAACTTCAGTGTTTTGAATCTCCGTAGGTATTCATTATGAAAGTTCTGAAAGAAAGGTGGTGGTCCTAGGTGACCAGAACTGGCTCTCTGAAAGGAGAAAAGATTGTGAGGGTTGTGCACTTAGAGAAAGTAGACAAGATGGGTGTATGTGTCAGAAAGACAAGATGGCCACCTGGTCAGAGAAGGGAGAGGAAGATGGGAGGGGCACCTGTGAGGTGCCAGAGAACTTTTAGCAGCCTCTTGGGGATGAAGAGGATTCTCTCAAGACCAGAAGCCTTCTGCATTTTTAGTTAAGACAACCAGAGAAAATATTTTTGCCTCTTTCTGTGCTGAATTAAAGAGTGAATCTGAAGATGGATTGCGACCTGGTCAGGCCCTCTTAAGTCAGCTGCTCTCTCCCACCTGAACAGCCTCTCCAGAGCTCATCTCTGCTACAGCCTTGGCTGCCTTTGTGTTTTGTCTTAACCAGAGAGGCTGTTCCTTTTGACTTCAGTTACCACATCCTGCTTCCGCCACCTGCTCTGCCTTTGAGCCCCTTGTGTTGGTGCAGTTCAGCCAGCAGCTCCTGTCACAACCACATGCCAGGGCCCGCCATGGGCTGGTTTTCTCCTTGGCAGGGCATAGAAAAATAGAATCTTAGAATTTCTGAGCTGGAAGGGATTGAAGGATTACTTAGCTCACCTTCCCACATTGTTGATGGGTAAGCCAAGGCCCTGAAACAGTCTTGCTCAAGGGCACTTGAGCGCTTAAAAGCCGAGCAGATTCGAGCAGATTCCCTTGGCTCCTGGCACCATCTACTCTGGGACCTTTCCTGGTTCTTGCTCTGGCCTTTGGGGCTATGAGAATAAAGGAAGACATGAAATAGCTGCAAGTGTCTATAATAGACAACCCCTGGGAGAAGTGATTATCTTTGTCCCTCTATTTGATCCCCAGAACGTGGGCTGTCAGGAAAACCATGATCCTGTCTTGAGCAGGCAGCGAAGATTATTCGGTCATGGGATTCAACTTAGTGTTTATATTTTTGGGGGCTCAGAGAGTGGAAGGGACATTTTTCAGGGAAGATCACTCCTTATATCTAAAATCCAAAACCACCCCCAACATCCCTCGCCAAATACTTGGTGTGCTGAACAAGTGATCAGGTAGACCCCTGGACAGCAGGCTTCTGTGCTCTGCAGATATGCGGCTGCCGTTATCATGCTCATTCCTTCACGCTCTTTATTTTAGAGACGCCAGGGCCTCTGGGGCTTCTGGTTGGAGATGTACACTTACATACACAGGCACACTCATGCCTCAAGTCATTTGGGGGCATATGTATGAAATTTGGAAGTCAACCTGCTTGGCTTTGTTTTAAATTTCACAACTTTTGTGCCTTTTGGAGATAAACTGTTGGTTCTTAGTGTACTAGACTGAAAACCATTTCTAATGGATACCTTTTTCATTCCTGAAAAGGTGCAGGTTCGCTTTGCAGGAACAGTTTCAGCTTCAGTGATGAAAAACTGAATTCTCCAACAGACTCAACCCCGACTCTGCTCTCTCCCTCTGTCACTCCTCGAAAAGGTAAGTTCATTCATTGCAATGTGAGGGAAATTTTTGTCTTTTAATTCCCCTGCATTTCTCAATCACTTCTCTCTTCTCTCTTCTTCCTGACCAATCTCCCCGAGATGTGCAAGTCAAGTAGATAACACTGGCATCTTCGTGCTGTACATTGTGCCAATTCTTAGGGTTTTGATCAGTGTGAAAATGAAGTCAGATAATTTGGTGGGGGCAGGGGTGGGAAACTGAATTCACAGGGAGACAGACAATGTGTAGGCTAAGACTCTCTTCTCTCTCCTGTGCTGTAATCAAGACTCTGCATAATGACAGTGCTCTTCCAGACTGATTGCTTCTAGAATTTAAAACTCAGCAGTTAGGCTTTGCAGAAAGTAGGATTCTTTTTATTGCATTAACTATTAAACTAATGCTTTCAGATTACCCATTTAGCAATTAAATGGGTCATCATTATGAGAAAAGCGATGATCTAACATAATTCAAAATAGCAGCTCCAGCCTGTCTCAGCTGTGATATTAATAGACCTCCTAAAAAGTTTTTAAAGATGCATGACCAGTTTCTTATTTTTTGGAGTGAATAAAAGTGTTTCCAGCTAGAGAGCTGAATGTTCTGTTATATTGGACAAGTGCCCTTTTGAAAACAAAAGGAGTTTTTACTTAAGAAATGTTATACTTGCTGAAAATAGTCGCAGAATGCAAAAAAGGGAACATCATTAAAAAGAAATATGAAGACCCTATCCTTTTTCTCACTCTGGCATTAGGATAGATTTTCCCTAGTTTTCAAAAAAGGCATTTTAAAATTCTCTTCTCAACATAGCAATGTTAGCAGCCACTGGGGACTCTGCCTTTGTCCAACCCTCAGTCTGTAATGGATCTACTTGAATTCAGAGAGACAGCGGTCTAGAAAGCAGCTTAAAATGTGCACAGATTTGCTACCTGATCCTTAAGAGACAGGAATTAAGACAGGGCAAAATCCTGGTGGCACATTGGCTTAAAAGCCAAGAACAATGAGCCATTTGTGCCTAGTGGGTGTTAATTAATAAAAATGTCTAGTCATGCATTTCAGAGAAAGCATCAGTGATAAATTCTACAGCAGACATACAGAAAAAAGTACATAGAATATGAGGGAACAAAGTCAGGATGAGGACTCACTATCTTCTGCAGACACCTGGATGGGACGAGGCTGTCCTGACCCCTAAATCCCACCTCACCTTCCATTTCCATGTACTGGCGGGACTGTCAGGTTGTGACATCAATCTGGAGTCATATCACGAAATAGAATGACTTAAGAGAAGTTTAGCAGGAATTACTGAAACTGAGTATCCATTCTATACCATTCTGTACAGTGCATGTTCTCTCTTTCAGCAAATATTTTTGACTGGTAACTCAAATTCTACACCATTAAAAAAAAAAAAAAAAGGAACTTTTGCTCTTCTCTTCCTGCTCCTTGCTCCCATATAGCTTTTTAAAAAAATAATATAATAGTTTATTTTTACATCATTTTGTGCCTTTTTCCATCTCAGTTGTAATTCCTGTGGGCTTCCCACCACCAATTCACCTATGTGCCATCACCCTCATCCAACACACTTGTTCCCATGTAACTTTACAGGCAGTGAAGGAAAATTCTTCTTCCAGGTTGCTGGGGTGGGAATGGGGGAGGAGGATATGTGTATGGTGATGACCTAAAAAATGAAGAACATTTAGGCTAATCTGAGAATAAGTTACTGTGTTGAGCAGATATGTGGGGTTAGTACAGGGCACTCTCAATAAAGTACAGGGCATCTCTCTGAAGATGGAGAGAGACAGAATGGGGTTGCATGGTTGTGACTGGAAAATGTCACAACACCAGCTGTCTTTGATAGAAACTGAACTTGAACTCTTGCTTTTCAGCCAAACTAGGAGACACGAAAGAGCTAGAAGACTTTATTGCTGACCTTGACAGGACATTAGCAAGTGAGTACATGCCTAGCATGAAAAAAATCAAACAGAAAACTGATTGACACCTCTGAGAAAGTGCAAGAATGTATACCAGCTTGCCTGGAGGGAGGGAGTTACATCATAAGCCTTCTTTAGCTTCAGAAACAGGACCCTGGTGGCTCAGAAAGGATAAGGCGTATGTTAAAGTTGATCAATGTGCCTTTCCAAACAGGAGAATAGGTCACCAACAAACAATGGTGTGTTGTTTGAGAAATGGCGAGTGAAGTAGTAGTTAGAGCAAGATTGGAGCTTAATCATGGTGGCCTGATACGCTTTTCAGAGCAGAAGTGAATGGATCCACCACACAGACGTGCTAAGCAGACAGAAGGCTCCATCTCATGGACCAGGGACATTTTCCCAGGTTAGATACAGGAGCTAGATGAGGTCTCCTTTCTCAAGGGTTAGGTTCCAAAAGAGCATTGGCTTTGCGTCCAGCCAAAGCCCCATGCCAATTACTGAGAGACCTAGATTAAGGACACAATATCTTGTCTTTCATTTGGCAGTAACAATAACAGTATCCCATTTTGTGTGATCAAACATATTGGGAACTGAAGACATTGGATCTTAACAACAGTGTGGGGAGAGGTTTAGAAGAAGGCTATCCTGACACTCCTGCTACACACTGTTTCTGAAAGACAGATTTCAAGGGCTGGAAGGACCAGAGAGAAGACCCGAGATAGAATTTGCAGCAACTCGGCTCTTGGGGGACCTTGTTCAGTTATAGAGCAGGCTTGGAGAATTTTGGGCAAGCCCCTTAATTTTTCAATAAACAGTTGATATTTCTATAAGGAAATATTTTTTTTTCTATTAGATTTTTCTTTTACATTCTGGTAATAACCAGGTATGAAAAATTAGGTCCAAACCTGCTTATTTAAAAATAGCTTTTCTTAACACTCTCTCAAACAGGCCTACATCTGAGGTAAGAAAGGCCTGTGTCTTCTCCCCTACTTCAGTGCCTACATTCTCACACCCTGTACTATCCTACAGCAGGGGACTGAGGCCTGTTTTGATAGAGATTAGTGTAATTGCAGCACAGTTTGTATGAGACTGATACAACAAGCCTTTCTGCTTTGTGGAAATTGCAGCCACTGCGTAGTTACTCCAGGCCGTCAGACAGTGTGGGAAACCTGCAAGTTTGGTGCTTTGATGCCTGTTGAGTTGTTGTGATCTGGTTAAGCACAGGGCTGCTAAACTAGTGGTGAATAACCTTATCCATTTCCTACTTACAGGTATGTGAAACAAGAAGTTATGGGCCCTTGTATCAAAGCTCCAAGGACCTGGTAAAATCAGCTACAGAATTTGCTGCCAGAGGTGATGGGGACAAGTGTTTATTGCTACCAGGCCATTCTCAGGCTCATCTCCAGGCAATGTAGATGGCGAAACTGACTTTGTTTACCTGCTTGTAGCGAATTAGAACAGACATCCCATGCTAATACTGTATTTTCTCTAAAAACATAGCTTACCTATAATTTAAAGTGCTTTTATGAAGATATTTGTAATTAATTATATATAGTCGGAAACAATAATATGCTTTTCCCATTATAATATATTTTTGTATACAAATAAAAATTGAACTGGAGTCTGTATTTTATAAGCTGCTTCTTTTTTTCTTTCAATATACGTCTATTCAAATAATATTCTAATGGGAATAACATGCCTCTTGATTTTAACAAAGGCCTTGGGCGTTGCCAAATTACTAGATGCTAGGACGGTAAACCTAAAGTCTTACTTTGAAGTTTATTCATTTGCTCTGGAGGAGGAGGCTGGCATATGATTAATAGGAAATTTTAATTTGAGGATTGTGGTTTTAGTGGAAGTTGAGTTTCTGAGTTTCTCTAGCTCTGGCCTCTTTCTCATATCTTAACACCTTTTTTAGGCACTATAGACCCTTTCCTTCAATGAAGGGAAATACCCCTTGTACTCAAAATACAAAAGTTAAATAGGAGAGAAAGTTAGAGCAACTAGAAGACTTTAAAATAATAGTTTTTTTTTTTTAAGACTTATTTATGCACACAGAACTGGGGTACAGGCCAGAGGTGCAGGAGGTGAGAGGATTCACCAGAGACAGAGCGGGGAGCAGAACAGGCTGACTGAAGTACACTGTTGAGGGGAGCAGCGGGCAGGTCAGGAGAGCTCTGCCTCTGGCTCGCCATGTGGGACACCCCCTGGGAAGGGAGGAATAACTTCATGCTGAAGTGGCTTTAGCTTCTTAGTGCTGCGCTTTAACCCGCTGCACCACCAGGGAGAGACCCATAATAGTCTTTTTTTTTTTTTTAAAGATTTATTTATCCATACAAGAACTGGGTACAGGCCAGCAGTGCAGGACATGTAAAGATTCACCAGAAAGGGTGAGGAGCAGAACAGGCAGACTGACTGAAATACACTGCTGAGAGGAGCACTGGGTTGGTCAGGAGAGGTCTGCCTCACTATGTGGGTCAGCTCCCAGGCTGGGAATCAAACTCATGCAGCAGTGGCTTTGGACAGCTTCACGATGCTGTGCTTTAACCTATTGCACCACCGGGGAGGGCCCTAAAATAATGCTACCTTTATAAAATATATATGCTAACAAGGATTTTGTGATGTGGGCCTAAGGTGACTTCGGTGGACTGTCCATAACTGGGCTTTGCATTTGGAAGACGTGACCACTCACTCCTGCCCCAGTACCTGCCTTTATGGAGATTAGGAAGAGGCATATAAAGAGGAAGACCATAATTTTCTATCTTTACAGCCTCTAAAATAAACAAGATCTATGTTGATAATGTAAATCAAGTTATTTTAAATCTCATCTTTATATTATTATAGGACACAAATCCAAAACACAATGACTTAATTTTATTTATAGTGACAAAAAAATCTCTATATGATCTGAAATTTAGGACACTTGGGACCTTAAATAGCCTCTTCTTTAACCTCTTTACCCCAAGCCCTGGGTAGGTTTTTGGATCAAACTCAAATTTTTATTTAGTATTAAATCATATACTGTAAACATTCATCCTTTTAAGGTATATATTTCAGTGATTTTAGTATATTCACTTCTGCTCATTTTTCCTTGTGCAGATCTTAATCAGATGATCATCCTGGTTGCAAGGGAAGCTGGGGAAAGGCTCTTCCTGGGTAGATATGTGCTAAGCTAAAATCTAAGCATTCTCTTATTAAAAGTCAAAGAGGCTGGGATTTGGACTAATCATCTATCTATCATAGACAGTTGAGGGCTTTGAGAAAATCTACCACTAAATGACGTGCGTGTGCGTGTGCGTGTGTGTGTGTGTGTGTGTGTGTGTGTGCACAAAGGTTGCCAACAGTGTACAGTAAGTTCCTTGGAACATGTTTTGGAAATGCCATCATAGGTGTTCTCCCAGCAGGCTCCATTGCGCTCCTCCTCTAAGACTCCGTACAGACAGCATGGCCCTTACAAACTGCCTGGTTGTTAGGTGGAGGGTGTCAGCTTATAGGCTATTCTGGAGCAGAACAAGACCCAATGTTGAGCATGTGGTGCTGGTAGGATGTGAATAGTATGTTTTGAGTTTGACAATTTTCTGTTCTAGTTTCTGGGAGGAATAACTAAAGCTAAACAAAACAAAAAATATGACACACACCCAATGTGAGAGGATCAAGTGCCAGCCCGGCTATTCAGACAGCAGCCAGCCTCCGGATGGGGCATGAGAAACAACAGAAGCCTCTTTCTGGGAAATTAGGACAGAGGTGGCTACATAGCCTGTCTGCCCTGGGCGTGAGAAGGCCTGTCTGAGCTGAGGGCACATTTGAGTAGGTGCTGGGTGGCCCACGGGCTGTCAGTTGAGATTGGGGACCCCAAGGAAGTTTTTCCTCTGAAATATCCCTGTAAGTTTGCAGTGGGCAAAGAGGGGAGAAACTGGTGGGCTTTCACACAAGACCAGGTTTAAAGTCCCACTTTACCATCCTCAGTTTGGGTGACCTGGGCAACTTAAGTAACCTTCCAGAGCCTATGGCTGCTCATTTTCAAAATATAAGTGTGACTCTTTATCCCCTTAGTGAGGGTCCCTTTATATTAAACAGAAAATGTTAGCCTCACACCCTCTACAGCCTCGTTGTCACAAGGAAATTGCGCTCCTGCACCCAAGGCAAATTTAGCTCCCACAGTGGGTGTAGCTGACAGCCTCCACCCGATTGTTCCTTATCTGATAGGAGAAAGCCAGCAGTCTGGTTTGATGGGACCAGACAGAGTGAGGCCTTGGTTTGGTTAGTGCTCCAGGGGAACAAAATGTCCTCCCCTGGTCAGATACTACAATTGAGGGACTTTGGCCTGAACCTCAGATGTGAACCCCTTTTCGAAAAGCAGATGGGATTTTTTTTTCTTGGCTTTTCAGTGTGTATGTCTCCCACACCCTTCTCCAAAATATTTTTCTGTGCTAATTTATTTGACAAAGAAGATTTGTGGTGAGAGACACCAAACAGGAAATTGCTGTCATAACTGCTGTCTGCAGCTTTTGTTTTTTTAAGGCTTTCTCCTGCATAGCTCACCTTCTCTGTGTCACTCAGATTGATTTAAGGGCAAGGGGGAAGCGGCAGGGAAAGGGAAAAGGAACAGGAAACACATTTTTAGAAGGGGATATTTTCCTCCAAGTTCAGAGTTTACTGAAGGTTAAAGATTATGCACATCGCAGTATTAGGTGCTCTTGGCACCACAGGGGCTTTGCACACAAGGTTTCCTCTGCTTGGAATGTCCACTTTTCTGTTTTTGTTTTGTTCGTTTTCTAGTTAATTTTATGCTAGAATCAGCTCAAGCATCACTTCTATGGAAAGTCTTCCTGATCCCCCACCTAGGTTGACTTGTTGGTACGATTGTTGCAGAAACGTAGGTGCATTCATCTTGGTTTGCAATGACAAGTTCATTCATGTGACCTTTTAATTAATTTCTCCCAACCTTCCTGCATGTGGACTCTCCCCATGAGGGCAGGGACCATCTCGGGTTTGACTTGCCACGGTGTCCTCAGTGCCTACGAGGTTCCTGGCACGTCATTCTCATCCCGCTCAGTTCACATGTTCTGAGTGATTGATATGTCTCGACTCTTCCACAGCCCAGGTAGGCTATAGGATGGGGTACTTGTCCCTCTGTCTGCCCTTTTGCGAGTCTTTTCTGATATTTCTTCTCTAGGCCCTTGCTCCCACTTTACCAGAGTAGCTAAAAACTTGATCCAGGACTACAACTGGTGTTGGGATCCCGTAATAGTCCCTCCCCCCCACTAATTATGACTTCCTAGGGAGATGGAAGTTGTGAAGAGGTCTTTGAGCCAAAAGGACTGAATCTCCACGGGTGGAAATTCAGGCACTCTAATCGGCAGTAGGGGTGAAGATCAGATTTCCTAGTCAATGCTGTGTGTCTGATGCTAGGTGCTTGCTGGTCCTGGCACAATACTCAAGTCTTTTCCCAGAACTTAGAGATTCTAAAGTCAGTAAAATCTTCTGAGTCCCATGGTGCACAGAGCACAGTGTTAGCACACTGTTAGCACACTGTATGTGAATCGTGTGCATGCGTGCATGTTAGTACTTGTGCATATGTATATGTGTGCTTATGTGTACATACGCTTGTAAGTGCACGTGTGTGTGTTATGAGTAGGGGAAAAGCCACGAGCTCTCATTTGGAAGACTTATAGAAGATTGGAGCCTCAATGTTGAGCTGTCAGCAGAGTGGCCTTTGGTAGTTATGGCACCACTTGCCTTGGCTTGGACTGGCCTTCCCTCCTGTGACTTGTTCTTGCTTGTCAACATTACAAAAGAGGATTACCTTTGTAATTGAGTTTTCATGCATCACATGGGAAGGGCCCATTCCCTTCTGAGGAGGCGGGTGACCTGCTGTCCCAGGCACAGGGCCAAAGCCTGTTCTGGAACCAGAAGAGTCAGGATTTGGCCTTGGGTTCTGAGGCAAAGAAAGCCACTACCCAGGACAGAACAGGTCTAGGAGGGGAAGAGCCACAATGTGACCCCTTACTTTACTAGGATGTCTTGAGGGTGAAGCATAGAGCTGCAGGAAGAAGCCCCTGAAGGGAAGGGAGGAGTCATTACAACAAAGGGATTCTGAGTGAGGAGGCTGGGCCCGTTTAGGGGTGCAGGAGCAAGGAATAAGTACTGGGATCACTTGGGAAGCCAGAGTGGAATTTAGAATTCCAAGGTTGGTGAATATCGTGAGGTGCTGGAAGGGAGGTGTGCTTGGAGAGGGTATGGAATCACTGCACCTCTTATACTATATTCCCTTGGTGTTCTCCTTCAACTTGACTATTTTGAGTTGTGTCCATTTTATTAAACCTGTAATGGTTAAAAAAAAAAAAAAAAAAAGGAGGGTATTCCCGGTATGGCCTCTGGCAGGTGAGCACACTTGAAGGAAAGGGCACTGAAAAGAACATGGAGGTAAGGATCATTCTGGAAGGTGGATGGCAATACAGCTTCCACACAGTGGAGTGCTGTGCTCTGACCCCTGTTCCAGCTCTGTCCTCAAATGGTTGTCTTTTCTTTAGCTGATATAGAAAAAACCCCTGTAGTTGAACTGCCTCACTTTGGACCCAAGAAAATTGAGGCTGGTGTTGAAGGGTTAAATAGT